CAGCTGGAGTTGCCTCCTTCTGCCCCTGCTTGTCCAGTACGGGATTCCAGTCCTGACTGGGCCCGTTGGACCCAAAGCCAGTCACTTTGCCATGCCGGTCCCTATGGAACCTAAAATCTAGTGAATTCCTCCAACTAGAGGTGCCACCTTGGGCTTGTGGCCAATCTATTCATCCATCCGCCTCCTCCTAAATGGTGGGTTCCCCAGAGCTATAAGTTACCTTAAAATGAGTGAAAACAGGCCATCGTTGTAAATCCAGAGATCTAGAAACCAGCTTGTGTCCCTGCCCCTCAGGGAAGTGTGTAAATGGCCTCCAGAGCACACCCAGTGTCCTTCACTCTTAGTTAGGTTTCTCTCAGTACCAGGCACAGTGCAGGGCACACAGTAGGTCAGCAATGCGTGCTAAATTGCAAGCAGCACCAATTTCTTCACCTCTCTCACTTTTTCTGCTGGACTCTGTTTTCTCAAAATCAGGGTCCACATGCCAGGATTCAGGCCTTTGACATGAAACCCAGAAAGCTCTGCATTTCTAATGACCTCTGCAGTTCTTAAGTAACTTCAATGTAAATCAATTTATTTATTGGGTGTTTTACCCAGCTTTGCCGCTCAGTAGCTGTATGACCTTGGGCAAGTTATTTAACCCCTCTCTACCTTAGCTTCCCTGGTGGGGATAGTAATAATACCCACTTCATTGAATTCTTCTGATGATAAATTGAGACTATCTATAGCAAGCTCTGAGAACAGTGCTTCTGTGGCACATAGGAAACTCAATGAATGTCAGCTGTTATCAATTTAATTTTACAGCTCATCATCCACTTGGAAAGTGCCAACTTTGTGTGAGCCTAATGAAGGGATAAGAACTTTCTCATAATTAGTCCAGGTAGGTTAGGCAACCAGCCCATCCTGGGTAGACAGGCAGAATTGTATCCTTCAGAGATCCCCGAAGGAATGTGTGGGAAGAATACAACAGAGACCCCAGGAGGGGAGCAGTCAAGATTACTGGGTGTAACTGAGGACTTAAATCTCTTCTTTGTATATTTGGTCTCAAATGGTGAGCAAGATACTTGCTTGTTACCAGGACATTCCAAGTCAGTAATGGAGGGGACAGGTATGGGGCTCTGAGTTTTTTTTGTCATGAGAAAGTGCGAACAGTCTCAGGAAAGTTAAGCTAACAGAGTTAACTGCGGTTTGGGGAAGAGGGGACATCTTGAATATAGCATTGGGGATTCAAAGGAAAGAAAACTCACCGTTCCAAAGTATACAGATGCTAGCTAGAGTTGCTGCTGGCTGTGCCAGGGAGCACTGATGAACACATGTTCCAGAGGAGGTAGCAGAGAGAGAGGTGGTGTGCTCAGCATCCCCGAGCCAGATGAGCAGTCTGGGCGGAGGGGCCCAGGGCTGTGGGGGGCTGGTCAGTAGGCTGACTGGCGGTGGACCAGATGAGTTTGGGGATCCTCTGGATATGGATGGAATTCCAGATTCACCCCCTCATCAGTAAGGAACAAAGTGGGTAGCTGCAGGATGCACTGACATCTCAGAAAGGGAGGAGACCATGAGAGCTTTTTGCCGCGGCCCTGGAGAGACTCCAGCACATGGTGGAGAGAAAGCTGCCTCCGATTCACTAGGAATACATGCGATTGTTGGCTACAGGGACCAGAAGATCAGTTATCCTAACAAGAACAGGAAAATAACCAGGCAAGAGCCTGCAGTCTGTGCCCATTTCCCCAGGGTCAGGAAGCAGAAGAAAGATGCCAAACGTGTCCCAGATGAGGACATGGGGCAAGATCGTTGCACCTGTCAGAAGAGGCCAAATAGCTGCGATGGGGATCACAGGATAGCTGGAGAGGTGTCAGCTCCCCTCTTTGGTCTGTTGGGAAGCACATCAATTTCCCTCCGTTAGAGACTGCAAGGAAGGGAAACCTATGAGCCTTGTAAACATTCACTGGCTGTGAGTTGGGGAACTTGAAATGAGATTACAGAAGGTGAGGAACTAAGATCTTTGGTTTAAAGGCTGAAAGCACAAATAGATATTTTTAAACTGAGAATGGGGCAATGTTCCTTTGAGATGTTTGGAGAGCAACGTGGATGGGTCTGATTCTATTACGCAAAGGTAGAACCCTCAGGTGTTTACCTATGAGACGCCTTCTTGTCACAACATACCTTTCCTGCTGTCAACTGCATTGCATGGAACGTTGCTGGGTTTGGAAATCTAGGTGTGATATTGAAAACTGTGTGTTCAGGTTTTGACGGCTGCCTGCCGACAGTCTTTTCCTCTAAGTAAGTGTGTCTATTTTACCGGCAGCAGTTTGCAGAAACCCCCACGGCTCTAAGAACAGAAGAAGCCCCACCCAGTTTGCTGAAACCCTGAGACCTTTACCGAAGACACACTGAGAACAGAAAACAGAAGACACAGAAGTACTCAGATGGTACTTAGGAAAAAATCGATATCCACAGACTCTGGGAGCAAAGCTACTACCCATTTGGGAAGGGGGACATTTGAGCCAGTGACCTTTCTCTTACCTGATTAGAAATGATAGCCCTTTAAAAAAAAAAGTGACTCTAAGTTCTCTTGGGATTTCAACACTAATCATGGCAAAATGAAAAATCTCTTTTGAGGGGACTCTGAGGGACATGTCATTATCAAGAATTTGGGGAGAGGGGGTTGAACTCTTGCCAGAAAGCTTAATAATTCAGCCAGGCTCAGAGTGCATCAGCCACCTCTCTTCTGTAAGAGTCAGAGAGCTAAAGGCTTCTATCAGGAAAGAGCATCCAAATGGGCAAGAACCTATCCTGATAGGAGAAGGTGGGAAGATGGGTTTGGTCACTGGAGTGAGCTGCTGTGAGGTTTTCTGTCTTAAGGGGACAAAGTTACAGACTTTCAGGGCAGAGGGGACCAGATGAGGCTGGAGGTAGAAAGCAATTAAACAAGGGACCCCCTAGAGGCCACCAAGCCAGGAGAAGGGACGATCACAGGAGTGGTCTGGGCAGGACCCTCCGAAGCTTGCGGGAATTTTCCTGACCAGGGTGGGGGAAGCCAAGAAGGGCCAGAAAGGCTAATGTGAGGTCAGAAGAAACCACTTAACTAAGTGCCTGGAATCAACACTCTGAAAATTTTAGCAGGCCTTGAGGCCAAACCAAGGTCTTCCAGATCAAGCTACGAATTTGAGTACTTTTGTCAGTATAAAATATAATCTGTAACGAATGAGTTGAAAGGAGGAAGAAAGGATAGGGGAGGCAGTGTGACGTCACGGGAAGAGCTAAGGCTTTGCAGCCAGGCTTACTGTGTGACCTTGAACAGTTTCTTAACCCCTCTGAGCCTCAGCCCCTTCTTTTGTAAAATGAAAAATAATAATATTTACCTCGAGAGGCTGCAGTGAGGATTCAGTGAGAAATGCATGGACCGGAATGGCAGGTGCTCAGTAACTGTTAGCTTCCTTCCCCTTCCAAAAGCTGTGCTTGCAAGTCTGTGGTTGTGTGTGCGGAGCCGCACTGACACCAGGTGGTTCTCAAGCATTTTAAAGGCGGCTCATCTGAACTGAGTTTGACAGAACATCAGCTTTCCAAACTTTGTACCAAAAAAAGGTACAATGTCTTATGAGTATTTCATAGTGGTTATACATTGAAATGAAAATATTTTTGATTTGTTGGGTTAAATAAAATATACTATTGAATTAATTTCATCTGTTTCTTTATACTTGCTTTAATAGGCTACTAGAAAATTTAAAATTACAGTGTGACTCACACTTTATTCCTCTTGGACAGTTCTGATCGAGACATTAGAGGAAGATAGGGTTGAGAAGCTGTGTTCCAGAAGCTCATTTGTTTCTCTACCATGGGTTTGTGCTTTGGTTTGTGGTCCAGGTTCCCCAGTAAAAGACCCTTTTGAAAAAAATGCCATCTTGAGCTCAACCAAAATGGGTGGAAGGTGCTTGGATGCCCCTAGTGGCTAAGTGTGGCGGTGACCATCGTCCAGGAAAAAGGAAGCAGGGCTGGAAGGGGAGAGGAGGGAGTATCAGATGGCAGCTGGGGACGGACTATCCCTTCTTAGCCTGGAGCTTCATTCCAGACCCTCTACTGACCTTTTCTCCGAGGGTGGCCCCACTCCCTCTTATCTCAGAAGGCTCCCATCTTGCACATGAACTTGGCAGGAAGCAGGTTTTCACCAGGCTGTACCAAACCAAACACAGGTGTACAGGAAAAGGCTACCTCACAGCCACCTTCAGAAAACCACAGTGTTTCCAGAGAAATAAACAGCAGACATTCACAGAGACAGGAATGTTCTTTTTTTTCTCTCCCCCAAGAAGTGTGGTTGGTTGCTGTTTTTAAAATTGTACATTTTACTGTACATTTTCTTTTAAGCAAAGGAGAAGATTGGCATTTGTACTCTGCCCACAGGGATGTCGCTTTCCAAAATTCCAAGTCAGAAACCTGACAAACACAAGCGCAAGTACATATCATGTCACGACAGAGCTCGGAGCCACTGACGAGGACAGCTGGTTCCTCCCCTTCCGGCGTCCACCTCATTCCCTCTGAGTGTTTGAACCCAAAGGCAAAAAGTGAGGTGGTATTTGGGGTCACTTCCTCAATGGCTACATTTAGAAAGGTTGAGTGAGAAAGATGCAGCAGGAAAAAGGAGAGGAGGAAAAAGGAGCAGGGAAAGGGGGAGGAGTAGAGATTTCCTTTCAAGTCACCTAAGGCTGAGGGCACCACCGGGACTGCGGACGGCTTGTGCTGCGGTCCTGGGGCTGGCCTGGAAAGTCAGCCTGTGGTCTCAGGAAGAGACTGGACCGGAATGTTAATGGCCAGGTCAGGACCAGAAAAGGACTGGGGAAGACAGGGAGGCACTGGAAGAAGAAGAATGAAGACTGGAGAGGAGGGAAGGTGAGGAGAGAGAGGAGGATGGGAGGAAGGACGAAGTGATGGGATTTGGAGGCTCCTGGGCTGGAGCCAGAAGGCAATCCTGCATAGACTCCCTGCCTCTCCCTGTGTGTGCTGGGTGGGGTAGGGGGGCCACCAGCTCAGCTCCAAGCCTGAGCCCATCAGAATGTTTCAGCCTGAAATGGACTCACCTATGCACTTTGTAGGCTGTGTGGTTGGCAAGTGGAAGGAGGGAGAAGAACCAGAGAGAGAGGCTAGGGATCTATAGGGGAGACTCAGGAGAGGAAAGAATGAGGTGGGGAGACCGAGGGAGAGGTAGTATGTTGGTAGTGAGGAGAGACCTGGAACAGACGGAGACCAGGAGAGACAGAGCTGCAGGGGGAAGTCCTTCTCCCCAGTCATGTCTCCTCTGCCCCCTCTCCACTGTCTGGGACATGAGTGTTAATCCCCAGATGGAAAGGAGCCCGTGCCCCCCTCCCCCATCACCATCCTGTCATTTCCATGACGCATCCTCCTCATAAATGGCATCCATGGAAGGCATCCTCCATGTCCCTGTGTCCCACACCTTCTTCAGGAACAAACAAGGGACAGACTCTGGGCACAGAAACGCCCTAGCTATGGTGAAGACAGGGTAACGGATTTCACACACCACCACCAGGAGGTAAGCGGCCTTGGTCCCTGCCCTCACATGGTTGCTAACTCACTGTGTGACTTTGGGCAAGTCCCTTAGACTCTGTGGGGAAGAGGAGAGAGGGTTAAGGATGAGACGATCACAAGCACCTCTTCAGGTTTCAAAACCCTACAGTTCATTTAGTCACAAAGAGTTCCTTAGTCCTTTGAGCGGGGAGGGAGTTGGAGACCTGGTACGATCTCAGTATTTTATGAATTAGGGTCTTGCCCACTGTCTTCAGCTGGTTATTCAGTGGTGGGTCTGGAACCCAAACTCAGAGCTTTGGACTCTGTGACTGGGGCTCCTTCTGCCCCACCTTCCCCCAATCCAACTTTCCTTAAGAGAAACCCACTTGGTCCCCTACACATTCATGGGGACTTCCTGACTCAGCTTCCCCAACAAGAGACAAAAATTCCAAAGCAACTCCAAAAGTTAACATCCCTTATGCCCTTATGTCTCATAAAGCTCTTCCCCCATCTCCCACACATAGGAGTCCTGGAAGTTCCCCTTCCGGTTTGAGCTGATGTGAGGTGTGGGGCATCATGTTTGAGAAGCAAAGGAAGCTGGGTCAGGTATGGGGGAGGTCACTCACCCCTCCCAAGTGTGGAGAATATTGGGAATAATGAGGAGTCTGCATGGGGGACTCCAGTCTTCCCCTAAACAAATGTGGAACCCAAATCATTCCCTACTCTTCTCAGTTGGCAATGATGGCCCACTACCAGGGCTGCTGGGAGCCTACTTTCTTGTGTAAACTCTCCATTATCTACGTGACAGAAGAGGAGTCTGGGAAGTAGAAGAAACAAACTAAGAAATAAAAACAACACTGGACCCATCAGCAATCCAAAGCCACTTGCTCATAGGCTACATTTGTGATTAGAAAGGCAGGAGTTCCGCCTTTCCAAACACTCAGGGCTCAGTCCGACATTTGAGCGATGGAGTCCGCTTTCCCTGAGCACACCCCGATGGGTGGTGGGGGACGGGCCTGGGAAGGTGGTGTGGGTGGTGTGGCGGGGGAGGGGGAGGGGGAAGGGGAGGCCGTTGACAGGGAGACAAAACTGTCCCTGGATGTAAACATCACCATGGAGACTTCACAAAGACTTGCCGGTGAAGATGCTTTCCCCTTCTTCCACCCCGGCAGGGTGGGAGGCAGGATGCCCACTGCCCTGGGCCTACACCGTGCTCTCCATCACCCACTCGGAGCTGCCGAAAGTTCCCCGGGCTCCCACCAGGTCGCTCTCCTCAAAGGGCAAGAGCATTCCGTTGACAGAGAGGCTGCGCTTTGTCCAGATGTTTGAGACCCTCCGAGGAGGGCTGTAGCCTCCTGGGGCGACCCCTCCAGCTGCTGCAGCTGCAGCCGCAAAGTCCCCCATGTCGAAGGAGTGGCTGCGTTTGGCCTTACCCTCCAGGGGCAAGGGGAGCAGGCTTTTGGCCCGGGCCGCAGGTGGCCCCAGCAGTGGCTCTCGGTCCGAGGGGTGGCCCCTGGCTGATGTCCCAGACCCTCTCCCGCCTGGAGTCCTGGAGTCAAGCAGCTCCTCCTTTCTCTGACTTTTGAGGTCCAAAGAGGCAAAGGCCCCCATCAGGCGATCAAGGTTGGGTTTGGGGCGGGGGGCAGGGGGTGGGAGCCTCCAGGGGCCCCGTCCCAGCCCCATGGCCTCCCCGATGCCCAGGGAGCTGGAGGAAGAGGAGTCGCTGCCTCGGGCCAGGCTGGCACTGAACTCCATGAGCTCATTGCGCACCACCACCTTGGGGGGCCCCGGCATGGGGGCCCCGCTATGTGCACTGCCCAGAGCAGGCGGCTGAGCCCCATTGGTCTGTGAGTGCATATTGCTGACGGCAGCAGCCGTCTTCCCGGGGACCTCCTGGTTGCAGACCTTGTAGCGCACCATGAGGATGACGATGAAGACCAGCAGCGTGGCCACAATGATGCCACCGATGACCAGGATCATGGTACCGCCCAGGATCTGGCTGTGCATCGACTGGCACTGTGGGTAGTCAGCCTTGGTGAAGAACTGGGCGCAGCCCACGATGTTGGTGGCCGTGAGCGTCGTGGCCGTGTCGTCCCACATGGCCAGCACGCACAGGTCGTAGCCAGTCCCTGACACCAGGTTGTTGACCACGAAGGCCTTGTTGGAGGCTGGGATCATCCTGGGGGGTAGGCGCAGAGGGAGAGGGAGTAGGGTTGGGGTGGGGGGACAGAGGCAGAAGTAGAAAAAAGAGAGAGGGTGACAGAGACAGGAGAGGTAGAGGGGGAGAGAGAGACATGCAGGGACACAGAGAGTGAGGCAGAGCGGGAAAGAGTGACAGAAATACAGGAAAAGGGAGAGATGAGGAGACAGGGAGGAGGGGGCGGAGGGCGGTGGAAGGACAGGCAGGTGATAGAAATAGGGCGCCGGAAATAGGAAGGAATCAGAGAGAGATGTGGAGGGGGCCCAGGTAAGAGAACAGGGAGACAGGATGGGGTAGAAAAGGAAATGAGAAAGAAAGATTCAGGGGCAGGGGATAGAAGTGTCAGAGAATGGTACACAGAGAAGAGACATCGGCGATCAGGTGTGGGAACAACCCAGAAGATGTGGGAAAAATAGATGAGTATGAGAGAAGAAGGAAGTGAGAAAGGGGAGGGTTGAGGGTGGAGACAATGGAAAGTTACAGATGGAGGTTCAGAGAAGGAAGGGGAGAGACTCAGCAAAGAGAAAGGAAACCCATGGGGAGGGGCAGAGGGAGGGACACGGAGAGGCAGAGAGATTAAAGGTGTGAAGAAGCAGACATTAAACAAAAGGGAATCCCCACCCCTCACTTCTGCTGCAAATAATCTGGGCAGGGGTGGGTGAGAGTCAGGCCAGCCCTGGCCCCTGGCAGCTGCCAGTGGAGGCTGGTTCCACCCCCTCTCTGTCCTGGGAGATTCCTCAGCTTTGACTGAGCCCCACTCCGAGCCTGGTGCTATACCGACTCACACACAAGGTCCTGTCCTCAGGAGCCAACCCCACCCTCATCTCCAAAGGCTTTCCCATGCCTCGGGAGGGAGAATGGGTGTCTAGCAGAAGAAAACTGGAGGCAGTAAGGGGGTGTTGCTTGGAGGTGGAGAGGATGGCGCAATGGTGAAGACTGGAGCGCAACGCTGCTTCCCAGAGGGAGAGGCCAGGTCCTCTGTCACTGCCATAGTAGGCCAGGCCCATCCAAAGACACTTGGCAAAGGGTTATCTCTGGTCGGGGAGGCCTTGAGTGGTCCCTCCACCTTAAGGGAGAGCCTGATAGAGACTGGGGCCCGGCCACTGTAGCCTGGGCCTCTCCTGCCTGGACCTTCAGGAAGCCTGGATGCAGGTGTCATGTGAACCCTGATCTCTATGGCCTGTGCTCAGGTATCACGCCTTCTGGTGGGTGCTCCTGGAGACAATGCCTGCTCACTCACAAACACTCCTGCAGAAACTCTCACCTCGGCCTGAAGGTGCCACATCTCTCTGCAGCCTTTCCCATCGCCCCTCTACCCAACCCCGCTCCCAGAGAGCCCTCCATTCTCCTGGCCCCTACTACTCCAGGGTGCTATCCGTGCCCGTCAACCCCTCACACCCAGAGCCAGGCAGCTTAATTGAGATCTCAGATATGAAATTCTGGAGCCTGAAAACTTTCACCTGGGAACTGTGCACGGAGGCTGGGACTGACAGGCAGGTATTGACATCCCGTCAGTGGGCAGCCGTGGAGGCTGCTGCCTCCCTGCCACTCTCGGCCTGCGTGGCTGCTAGGAAAGCCACAAGGAGGAAATAGAGACCTCTTCCCTTGTCCCCATCCCTGGCCCATAGCTACAGTGCATGGGACAGAAGAGGCAGAAAGAGGAGGTGGAGGCCTGGATCCAGCAAGGGCCCTGAGGCCAGCTGCTTAGGTCTATCTGACTCACCCGAGCATCATGGCAATCCTGTGCCCTTGTGTCACAGAGGAGGAATGGCCAAGCTCAGAGAGGCTAAGTGATTTGCCTGAGGTCACACAGCTGGGACTGCCAGGATGGGGCAGTTGGGACTTCAACACTAGCTGCTAGATCCACAGTCTGGGCTTATACTTTTCCACATACATGGATGTTTTTCCTTATCTCAGTGAAAACCCTGCCGGGCTCATGGCAAGCCAGCCACCCCCTTCCCTGGAGCAACACTCAGAGCCCACCGAGGCTCCTGCTCCTCCACCAGAAGGACCTCTGTTCTGCTGGGGCAGCTGCCGGGCAGAGCCCAGAGCTACACGGGCTCATTTCCTTCCCCCTTGGGGCTAGTGACGTGAGTTGGAGGGGCAGGAGAACAGTGACAATAGTAGCGCAAACACTTCATGGTAACTGCGTGCCAGGCTCTGTTTTAAGTGCCCTGTGTCTATCAACTCACTTAGCCCTACAGCAACTCTGAAGCAGCCACTCTGGTGGGAAGTGGAGAGGCAGAGGTGGTAAGCAAACAGCATGGCAGAGCCCGCCCTGTCCACTGTGACTCGCCGCGCTCCACCAGCTCCGCGTGGTGAGCAGTGGAAAAGGGTATCTGTTGGAGGAGGGGCTGGGTCGCTGGTTTATTGAGCACCTGATAAGTGACAAGGGTTTCCACTTTGAATATTGATTTAAACTTCACCACAATCGCAGGACACAGGAGATGGACTGCGAGCCCAGAAGTCACCTCAATGTTTAGCCGTCGTATCCTGGGAAGGAGGCAGACCCTGCTGCTGCTGCTGCTACTACTACTGATAATAATAATAGCAATAATAAAGAAGAGTAGCCGGCGGTGAGGACTCGCTCTGTGCCAGGATCTTCAAGAGGATTAACCTCATTTAATCCAACAGTTGTTGGGAGGTCATTACTAGCATTGTCCTCTCCATTTGCACATAAGGACCAGAGCTACAGAAAAGTGTAGCTGCCTGCCCGAGAGTGCCGGGCTAGTGAGCGGTAGAGCTGGGGTCTGAAGCAGGCAGTCTGGCCCCAGAGCCTCTGCTCCTGAGCACTGTGTCCTGCGGCCCCTCAGCCACTGCCCTGCCTTCCTGTCCTCCTCCAGCGGCTGCGTGTGGACCCTGCCTGGTCTCTCCCCAACCCCCTTGCTTCCCGAGTCTGGGAAAATCGGGTGCGACGAAGCAGCAATAGGGTTGCTGCTAAAGGAGGAGTAACAGGGTGAGGCTGAGCCTTGGGAAGAGGCTGGCACCAGGAATGAAGGGTCAGGCTTGGAACAATCTCCTACCGTAAATGGCCCTTCGGAAAGAGGGCCGGAGGAAAGGGCCTGCTTCCCAGGATTTAGAGCAGGAAAGCAGCTCCAGCTCCTGGTTCTTCTGCCTTGAGTGAGTGAGTGAGTGAGTGAGTGTGTGTGTGTGTGTGTGTGTGTTTGAGCCACCTGGCTTAAACAGCCTCGGTGGTCAAGTTTTCCTTTGCCAATAACAATAATAACCAGTGTTCACTGAGTGCTAATCTCGAGCCAGGAAGTTTACATGCTTTATCTCATTTAGCCTCCTGACAACCTCCAGAGTAAGCTGCTGTTATCATCCCCACTTAGAGAAGGAGGCAGCTAAGCAGTTTTCACTTTCCCTGGGGAGTGGAGCTGAGACCAGACCTGGATCCACTGGGAGTCAGAGCCCACACTCTTAGTCATAAGTAAGACCGTTCCCAGACTCAAGCAGCTGAAATGATGGGCTGCATGAGAAAGTCATGTGAAATTGGCACTATTCAGACTCTAGTGACAGAACCAAACTCATCTCCTGCTCATGTGGTCCTGTCCACCCCCTCATGCTCCTGATACTACGAACCATGGATCCTCTTGGATCTGGGGAGCCTGGACACCCCCTTCATTCATGCCCACATCCCGCTGGTACTCTGGCTGGTAGGTTCCACCTTCTGAATGTCTCCCTCCTTCCATCTCCATACATGCTTTTGCTTGGGCCTTGCCATCTCTGGTCTGGATGGATGCAGCGGCCTCCAAAGCGGCCTCCCTGCCTCCGGATGTGCTCCCTTAAGGTCTGTGCTCAGCACCATTGCCTCCAGAGTGCTACAGTAAAGCACAACTCTGGCCGTGTCCCTCAGCCACTGAAACACTCTTCAAGGGCTAGCCATGACCCACAAGGAACATCCAGGTGCCTGAGCTGGGCTCCCAAACCAGGCTTCCCATCACATTCTTGTCCTTCCACCCACACACCCTCAACCTTGCCCACATTCTTAAAACATCTTGGAATCAGTCGGGCCCTTCAGAGGCAGAAAGCACACTCACAGAGGGATAGCAGAAGACTTTGCCTTCAAAGGCTCTCATTAAAAAGAGGTGGATGGGGATGGGGAACCACAAGAGAACAAGAACTAACTCAGGGCTAGCAGTGACCCAGCTGTTTCCAGACTCAGGAAGGAGAGAGAATCATGCGGGTCTGCACTACTGAGTGTGGCCCACAGGTGGATGCTTGTCCATGAGCTCTTTGTTCCTGGTCCATGATCAGACAACACAGAAACCGAGGGTAAGCTTTAAGAAAATTTTGTGGCTATTTGGCCCTGATTGTGACATCTAAGTGCATGATCATCTTTTCTGCTTTATTCTTACAAAAGCATTGGTCTGCAACGGAGTGGGGAAAAACCAAAGCTTGTCCTCCACCATAAATAGCTTGAGAAGCACTGATGTGTAGCAGGGGTCCTCAGCCTCAGCACTACTAACACTTAGGCTGGATAAGTCTTGGTTGTGGGGCTGTCCTGTGTGCTGTAGGATGTTTAACAGCATCCCTGGCCTCTACCCACTGGGTACCAGTGGCATCACCAGTTGTGACAACTAAAAATGTCTCCAAACATTGCCAAATGTCCTCTGGGGGATAAATCTCCCCCTGTTGAGACATACTGGTCTAGAAAATTTCGGGACAGAGGCAGCCAGGGGCAACCACACAGGCTGTGAGAGGACCAGATAAACAGGTACCCTGGCCTCGCTCTCTTCCCTCCTCCCAGTCTTCTGCTACTGTCCCCCATGGCTGAACCTAACGAAAAGCCAGCGTTTATGGGTGCACACTGGTCAGTCTTTCAGGTCACACAGCAGCGGGGAGGAGGGCAGAGTGGATCTGGAGAGGCAAAACATGGTATCTGGCACAACCACCAGGTCACAACCCTCTTTGTGAAAGACTCATCCTGAAGTCCTGATAGATTTCTTTCCATCACATAAATGAGCGACATCTCTTTT